AGGAGTATATATGTTATATACACCCGATACCCAGCCAGTAGTATACATGTTATATACACCCTGATACCCAGCTGCCAGGGGTATATATGTTATATACACCCCGATACCATCCAGGAGTATTATATATGTTATATACACCCCAATACCCAGCCGGTAGTTACGTTATATACACCCGATACCCAGCCTGGAGTATATATGTTATATACACCCTGATACCCAACTGGCAGTATACATGTTATATACACCCTGATACCCAGCCGGTAGTATACATGTTATATACACCCTGATACCCAGCCAGGGTATATATGTTATATACACCCCGATACGCATCCAGGAGTATATATGTTATATACACCCTGATACCCAGCCAGGAGTATACATGTTATATACACCCTGATACCCAGCCGGTAGTATACATGTTATATACACCCCAATACCCAGCCAGTAGTATATACGTTATATACACCCCGATACCCAGCCAGGAGTATATATGTTATATACACCCTGATACCCAACTGGCAGTATACATGTTATATACACCCTGATACCCAGCCAGGAGTATACATGTTATATATACACCCCGATACCCAGCCAGGAGTATATATGTTATATACACCGATACCCAGCCGGCAGTATATATGTTATATACACCCCAATACCCAGCCAGGAGTATATATGTTATATACACCCCGATACCCAGCCAGGAGTATATATGTTATATACACCCCGATACCCAGCCCGGAGTATATATGTTATATACACCCCAATACCCAACCGGTAGTATACATGTTATATACACCCCAATACCCAGCCAGAAGTATATATGTTATATACACCCTGACACCCAGCGGTAGTATACATGTTATATACACCCTCATACCCAGCCAGTAGTATACATGTTATATACACCCCATACCCAGCCAGTAGTATACATGTTATATACACCCCGATACCCAACTGGCAGTATACATGTTATATACACCCTGATACCCAGCCAGTAGTATACATGTTATATACACCCTCATACCCAGCCGGTAGTATATATGTTATATACACCCCGATACCCAACTGGCAGTATACATGTTATATACACCCTGATACCCAGCTGACAGTATATACGTTATATACACCCTGATACCCAACTGGTAGTATACATGTTATATACACCCTGATACCCAGCTGGTAGTATATACATGTTATATACACCCTGATACCCAGCTGGTAGTATACATGTTATATACACCCTGATACCCAGCCAGGAGTATACATGTTATATACACCCCTGATACCCAGCCAGGAGTATACATGTTATATACACCCTGATACCCAGCCGGTAGTATATAGTGGTAGCAAGTTGTAACTAAGTTTCCAAGAATGAAGGTGAAATCCTGAATTTAGAAGGATTGAGAGCTTTACATGGAGAATATATGTAACCATCCAGAATTATGAAGAAATGCAACATATTGATGGATCAGATTGGAAAATGCAACATATTAGATGATCTTCATAGAAAACGCAACATATTAGATGATGATCGTAGAAAACGCAACATATTAGATGATCATCGTAGAAAACGCAACATATTAGATGATCATCGTAGAAAACGCAACATATTAGATGATGATCGTAGAAAACGCAACATATTAGATGATCTTCATAGAAAACGCAACATACTAGATGATCATCGCAGAAAACGCAACATATTAAATGATCTTCATTTAAAACGCAACATATTAGATGATGATCGTAGAAAACGCAACATACTAGATGATGATCGTAGAAAACGCAACATATTAAATGATCTTCATAGAAAACGCAACATATGAGACGATCAACGTTAAAGATGACGGTAAAGAAAATGTACCCTTCGATAGACGCCACGCGCTCGTCCTCCCTGCCTGGAAAGCCAATGAAATCAGCTGCATTATTTGCATTGCACACATTCAGCACAATTAGCAAAACGAAGCAAAGCCTCAGTAACAGACTAGCATTAAAAAAAAAATGCAGATTTATAGAATTTATTTATAGAATTTATTTATAGAATATTCACGCCTGATAAAGATGATCTCTTAGATAGTAAAACTATTCAGTCCAATAAAAGTTTGACAAAGTGTGCCTAGGCAATATCTATCCCCCAACCCCACCCACTGCCAGGATCATATAATAAAATAATTATTAAAATTCCCCTTTGATAAATAAATAACATGGCCGTCACATTACAATCTGTAAAAGGCCATCTATTATTTTTTTTTCAAGGCTAATTATTTTATATATTATATCATTTTGATACACAGTGTTTCTAAGCTTGATTCTTGATTGTGTGTTTTTTTTTTTTTTCCTTGTTAGTTATTTTATTTGGAAACAGACTGAATCTACTTATCAATACACTTAAATAAATGTACTTTTTTTTTTTTAAAATTATTATTGTTTGTGTATTTGCAATCGACATTTGTTAGCCACAAGACCGAAAGTTACACTTTTTGATGTTCCCGGTGACTGAATTAAATATTATCTGTTACATTTACTAGCTGAGATCTAAGCAACTTAGGGCAAGAGCTTTATAATCGCTTTTGAGGCAGATATTTTTTTTTTATTTTTTTAATTAAAAAATGCAGTTTACCAGAGTTTTCTTTATAAACTCGTATCTCAGTAATGAAAAGGACAATGATTTTCCTGTCTTAATTTTGTTTTAATTGTCTCAATATTTAATTAATGTGTATGGCATTTGGATGGGTATACTGTATATTTGTTAATGACGTTTATTATTTAGAGAGAATTAGTTGTGTCATTTGGTAGGAAAATAAATAAAACAATTAACAGTTTTATTCTACCAAAAAAAAAATCAAAGAAATATCTTTTAAAACCATAAGCACCCTCAGCAGGTCTCAAGCACTCACTCTCACACATTATCCCGGAGCGCAACAAAAACTCAATTTTGCTACAAAATAAAATACATTTAAATGCCATTAAATTTCAGAGAATCGAAATAGGTTTATTTAATGTCTGGAAGTAGATGAGATGCAAGAAAGTTCTGCACTGCCATCCAACACAATTTAGACATTCATAAAAATCAGAGGAAAATCAGAATAAATTTTTAGGACTTTTCTTATTATTTTATTCTTTTATGTCGTACACTTCCACAGTAATACCTGGTTGTAGAGCAGTTTATACAAAAAAAAAAAAAAATCTGGACTAAATGGATTTTTTTTTTTGTAAGATGCGACATAAAAAAAAAAAAATGAAGTCATCACAACTTAGGTCTCTAAATGCACGATTCATGGCTCAATTATCCAGCAGAAAATCCTAAAAATTGATGGAGGAAACAGTGGCTGAAACACACTACTTCGGTGAATTGATTTTATAATGATCTTCGTTGTGGTTTGCTTCACATAAACATTTTTTAGTATTTTTTTTTTTTTTTTTGCAAATTGACTTTTATTCTCATTTTTTTAGCAGAAATATTTTGCAATAGCATAAGAATTTAAATAACATTTGTTTCCCAAGGGTAAATTAATAAATAAGACCGGTGCATAGGAAAAAAAAGCAGCCAATATTTCATTTTATATATTACTATATTACCCCATGAGGGCATCTTAGAATGTATGTTTATTATTGAACATTGTAAGAGCATAGATAATTTATTTAAATCTCTATAAAACAACAATGTATGTATCCCATTGATTCCTTTATATAGTGCATTAGGATTCCAACTCATTGACATTAATTTACTTATTTAAATAGTATTTGCATGCTTTTCCATACAAATGTTAAGACTTTTTTGTTTCTTTTTTTTTTTTTTTTCTTCTGCATTTTATGTTTTTTTTTTTTTTTTTATTTATTTTTTTTTTAAATAGTTATTTAAGTCACCAAGCAAAATATAGGCTCATAAATAAAAAGCATTAAAAGGAACTAAATCCTACAATTATGTACAGATGGACACCTTAAATAATATATTTCATCTGGCTCAGGTTCAATTTAAATAATAAAATATAGACAAGGGGAAAAAGGGGTAGAAATGGAGTAAAAATTCAGACACTCGTCCCTTTTTTTTTTTTTTTTTTTCTCAGGAAAAAAAAAATTATATTTGTAGTGTCTTTTTTTTTTTTTTCAAGTGGTTTTTAAACGCAAGAGAAGTCCAGGGGAAGTTAAGACTCTTCAGTGTTTGGGTCACTTAACAAGATGCACACATATTTTTTGTTCTCTCAGCAAAAAAAAAAAGAGGTTCATAAAATTGAGTAAACAAGCCGTAAATGAAAAGGAAAAATAAAATAAAATAATACAAGATAAAACAATCTACAACATGCTTCATTGTAGTTCTAGTAGAAAAGGGTACCTTGGGTTTACCATACATGACCTGCATGCAGGATTGCTAAAAAGTCCTATTTTTAATACCCAAATGAATTGCACAGTTTTGTTCAGCTCCTGTAAGATGTTTTCTACGTCCCTTCAGTCCCGGAGGTGACTTCCGTCAGTCCCAGAGAAAATCATTTGTGGTCTTCTTTTTTTTTTTTTTGTGTGTGTGTGTTCATGGCTGTCTCTCGTATTGCTCTGTTTTCTCAATGCCAATCCGGGAACTGCTAATTCATTAAGACTTTGAAGTTCTGGCTCAATAAGCAGTCCTAACAGAGAGGAACATCTCCCCTTCCCCCCTAAAAAAAAGTCCATGATTTGTTCACCGTCATTTTTTTTAATATATATTTATATATATATATATATATATATATATATATATATACACAAGTCACTGTAAGACATGAATTAAATTGGTGATTGGGAGCCTGAAAAGCTCAAAAAAAGGAAAAAAACCCCCAAAAAAAACCCCATGAATGGTCTTCCTTCAGTCACACTGGTGGGGTGGAGGCAATGTCTTATGGTTGGTGGACAGATTCGGGAGAGAATGCGGTTTTTTTACATTGTGACTATGAATCTTTTTTTTTTTTTACCTGCAGGGTCTTTGTATATACAGGTGGGGTGGTGCAAGATGGAGGGCGTGAGGTGGGTCAGATGAAGAAGTCAGGTGCTGCTTTCCCTGGGTTGGACGGTTGTTGTGGGGACTCCCTGGCGGTGAAGCTCCTGCTGGCCAGTTTCTCATACTTGTCCTTGTACAGATCCCTCTCCTTGGCCAACCTGGAGACCTCTTGCTTGAGTTGCTCTACCTGGTTCTGCAGCTGGCATTTCTCTGTCTCTAGGATGTGCCGCTGCTGCACCCTCTTGTACCTGCAGGACTGGGCATAGCCCCGGTTCTTCAGGGTCCTTCTCTTCTGCTTGAGGCGGATCACCTCCTCCTTGCTAAAGCCCCTCAGCTGCCTGTTGAGTTCCCGCACAGACATGCTGACCAGCTGCTCATCCGAGAACCTCTCCTCCAGCCTGAGGTGGTGGTTGTGGTGGTGGTGATGGTGGTGGACCTGGTGGTGGTGCCCGGAGGCTGGCATTTCCTCCCCGGGGTACTGCTGGCCCCTGAAACCATCGTAGCCCTGGTGGTGGTGATGGTGGTGATGGGGGTTGCCTATCAGTGCCTCCACGGCATCCTCTGGGGTGAGGTTGAGGGCTTCAGGGTTGATGTGGTGCTGGTAGTTGGACATCCAGTAAAGGTCCTCCAGCTGCGGCTTGTTGGCTGTGTTGGGGTTGTTGGGGTTCACGTTGGGCTGTGCCCCGGGACTGGGGGCGCAGAAGCTGGGGGAAGACGGCACAGAGGAACAGGGGGTGCTAATCGGAGTAGAAGACAGGGATCCGGGTGGCAGGCGGTGGCAGAATCGGTCGGCTTCTGGGGGTTCCTTCTTCACCTCAAATTTCATCAGATCAAAGTCGTTGACATACTCGATGGCGAGAGGGCTGTTGGGCAAGTCTGCACTCATAGCCAGATCAGAGGCCATCTCAGTCCATATAAGAGATGTCACTGTCACTACAGGGGGCTACAATTTAGGAGCTCCACGCCCCCTTGCTGGTGGGTCTGCACACAGCAGCCTGCAGGAGGACGAGCTTGTTCCTTGTGAGATGTCACCAGCGAGCAGCAGGGGGGTCCTGGGCTGACACCGCTTCTCAGACCCTCTCTGTCAGTCTTTCAGGGGGTCCACGTAAGGGGGTCTGCAGGCTGCAAGTGCCCAGTCTTCAAGGACTTTGCAGGAACTGAGTCCCCTCGCAGCCGCCTGGAGTTTGCAGTTGGAGTCCTCCTTGATTTGCTGGGGGGTCTCAGGCAGTTTTGTGTTGAGGTTACCAGGCAGTCCTTTTTTTTTTTTTTTGAGTTTTCAAAGAGGCCGAGCAGAGTGGTCTTCCAGCAGACGGGGTGTCAGGGAGTTTGCGGCGAGGTTCTGCAGCAGCTGGGTCCTCTGGCTGTGTGTGCAGTGCATTGATCACAGGGTGCTTGCATGCTCTGCTCTCTCAGGACAGGCTCTGCTCTGTCTGTGCTCAGTACTTCCCTCCCTCCCTCTGCCAGGCTGCAGGCTTCTGCACAGCCAAAGCCTCTACACTGAGGGGATCAAAGCTGCAACTCTGCCCTTTAACAAGGCAACGTGCCTGGCCACGCCTGGTTAGGTGTGGGGATCCCTTCCAGGGCCAATCACAGACCCCCATTGCCCTTTTCATTTACATATCTCTGTAGCAACGCAAGTGAGGGGCTGTCAATCTCCCGAGGGGGACAGCTGGGAGGTAAAAAAAAAAAAAGAGCAACTTGGGCCCTCTAGCGGTGGAAGGAGGGTACTACGCCCTGCTCAGGTACAGGGAGGTAAAACATGAAATGTGACTTTAAGGGATGTCAGAAAGGTTACATGACACACGGCACACGGAACACGGAACACGGCACACGATACTGAATTGTTGTCTAGAAAGTATTCTACGCACAATTCTGACACAGATTTACAATGGGAGTTTTCACTGTTATTGCATCATTAGAATTTCTTTTCTTTTTTTTTTTTTTTTTTTAATTTGTATTACTTTTTTATAATCTTTTTGTTGCTTTATAGTATTATTTTTAGTGATATAATATTCTTGATGGCTATGTTTTAGGACAATTTTTAGTACTATATATATATATATTTGTGTGTTTTAGGACAATTTTTAGTTATATATTTATTAGTATTATTCCTGCATCGTTCATAAAATTAAGAAATGAATCGATAACATTATTATTGTTATTAGCATCAATCTAATTTTTATTTAAAATTTTGATTTGTATTACTTATGTTCAAGTATTATTTTGTCCCATTCTAGCACTATTTTTAGTGATACTCCAATCTTATTATCAAAAAGATTAATTTAAAAAAATCAATGAAAATTTTTTTAAAAATTTTTTTATATATATATATATATATATATTTTTTTTTTTTTTTTCATAGATTTTTTTAAATTAATCTTAATCTTAAATTAATCTATATATATATATATATATATATATATATATATATATATATATAATTTAAAAAAAAAATTTTCATTGATTTTTTAAAATTAATCTTAAATTAATCTCTCTCTCTCTATATTTATATATATATATATATATATATATATATATATATATATATATATATATATATATATATAAAAAAATATATATATAATTATTAATATTCCTGCATCGATCATAAAATTAAGAATTAAAAGAATAATATTATTATTAGCTAATTTTTATTTTAAATTTTGATTTGTCTTACTTATGTTAAAGTATTATTTTGTCCCATTCTAGCACTATTTTTAGTGATACTCCAATCTTGTTTATTATCAAAAACATTAATTTAAAAAATAAATAAAAAAAAAAAATATATATATATAAAATTATTATTATTATTCCTGCATCGATCATAAAATTAAGAATTGAATGAATAATATTATTATTATTAGCATCAATCTAATTATTTTTTAAATTTTGATTTATATTGCTTATGTTAAAGTATTATTTTGTCCCATTCTAGTATTATTTTAGTGATACTATAATCTTGATTATTATCAAAAAAATCAATTAAAAAGAAAATCAATAAAAATTTATATATACACACACACATATATATATATATATATATATATATATTTATATATAAACTTTGTTTTATTATTATTATTATTATTAGACAATAGATTTTTATAATTCTTACGAAAATAATAATAAAATATTATCCTTACACTTCATATTATCTATGCAGGAATAATATTAATAATAATACACATAATATCAAATATGATAATAAATCTAATGATAATAATAACAATAATAATATACAATATCAAACATAATTATAATAAAAAAAAAAAAAAAAAACACACAATATTAAATATAATGATAAAAAAAATCTAAAAATAGTAATAATATATATATATAAAACTGATAATGATAAAAAAATCTAATAATAGTAAAGAAAAAAGAAAAAAAATATATATATATATATATAAAACTGTAAATATATATTTATTATTATTATATTATTATACAGGATTTATGGCGCCAACAGTTTGCTCAGCGCTTTAAAATATAATTATTACACACGATATCAAATATAATGATTATAAATATAATACATTGTAGCAGGTTTTACATACACATTCAGTTTATAAAGTAACAATGACAAATTTAATTTCAGTAATTTTGATCCAGTTTTGTACATTTGTACCTTCTTGCTGTTCCACGTTCCCATGTTTCCACGTTCCCATGTTTCCACGTTCCCATATTTCCACGTTCCCATATTTCCACGTTCCCATGTTTCCACGTTCCCATATTTCCACGTTCCCATGTTTCCATATTTCCACGTTCCCATATTTCCACGTTCCCATATTTCCACGTTCCCATGTTTCCACGTTCCCATGTTTCCACGTTCCCATGTTTCCACGTTCCAAAAAAAATATTTCCCATGTTCCCACGTTCCCATGTTTAAATTAACGTTCCCATGTTTCCATAATTTTCCATGTTCCCATGTTTCCACGTTCCCATGTTTCCAGGCTCATACAGGGATTATCTGGCACCGCGCACGTCACAAGTAAAGCTCATCCCATGTGAATAGAGGGACAGCCGTAATCTGTGGAAAGGGAACAGCGAAGTGCAATCACTATGAATGTAGAAGGATGACAAGAGAACACAATGAGCGGAGAGGCGTCTCTCTCACAGGCAGACATTTTTCAATCCTTTTAGATCTGCGGATTTCATTAAATGAACCCCCGGTGATCCTGCCATGAAGCTTTTTGTTCAGGCACTTCCTGGTAAATAGGGTGACAACGTTCTGTTCTCTTCTCCCAGATGTGTTCCTATGTTGTCACCCTGATCACCATGTGTTCCAACACACATTACACAGTCATGGTCCCCTACAGTCACCATCAGGAAACCCACCTAGAGGAATGTCCCGCAGACATCGCCGCAATGCATGTAGACAGGAAGTGGCTGCAAAGCGGCTGTAGGAGATCAGCAGTACTGAGATGGAACAAAGGATGAAAAAAAAGGTGAAATCAGAATTTTCTAGAGAAAAAAAAAGCTGCCTATCGTGATCCAGAAGCCCAGGAAATGCCATATTAGGCCACTAGATGGAGATGAGGAGCATACAGATTTCCTAGGACACTCAGTGCCATCTAGTGGCCATAATGGGGTAGTTTCCTCATTCACACTGATTTTTTTTCGTGGGAGGTGATTTGTATTTTTGTCCATCCAGTCCTGAGATTTACACAGCTCTGCCACATAACACACAACAGGCAGATGACCCAAAAAACTGTCTATGTCCCCAGCCTGTGGACTGGATACTGAGAGAGCACCAGCACTCTGCTCTTTCCTCCTATCAGCATGGCACACGCTCTTATGAGCTGCCAGTCCTGCTCCTCCCTCTTCCAGTCTATATACAGATGATGAGTCCATTGCTGGAGGCTGACACCTCACCAGTGTTCCTGAACCCCCAACAGTACAATCAGTCTGTAGGTGCAGGAAAGCATGCTTGTTATACTCACTGTGGGACCTAAGGAGGTCAATCCTCCACAAGGTGTAAAACCGCTGTTTGATCCTGTGTTCTCTGATCCTCCCCTTCTTCCAGTGTCCCCCTTCTCTTATCTCCTGATAAGACATATCATGTGGAGACACTCTGCACATGCTCAGGTTGGTGTGTATTGCTAGAGAAGTTTTTTTTTTTTTCTTGGGAGGATCCATGTGATCAGCACAGGGCCAATCAGCACTGTCCAGACAGAGGGTCAGGGGTTCTGCATCCTCTTAGAGCAAAATGAAAAACTTCTCCTACAAGCTTTAATCAGTGCTCTGTGATAGAAGTCACAAGACTGCTCTATACTGCTGATGAGGAAAGGGATTTATAGCTATACTTACTACAATAATTGCATTTCCATGTTCTGTGTAAAAAAATAAGAGCATAATATAGTGAATGCGGGGTCCGGGGAATTAATAAATAGTGAATGCGGGGTCCGGGGAGAATAGATATAGTGAATAAAAAAAATAAGCGGATATAGTAAATAAATCCGGGGGGAGAAATAATATAGTGAATGCGGGGTAAAAAATATAATATAGTGAATGCGGGGTAAATAAAAAAATAAAAAATGCAATATCCGGGGAGAAAAATAATAGTGAATAAAAAAATAAAAGATATTTTAATATAGTAAAATGCGGGGTATAGAGCGGATATAGTAATGCGGGGTCCGGGGATTAAAATATATTGAATGCGGGGTTAGAGCGGATATAGTGAATGCGGGGTCCGGGGAAGCGGATATAGTGAATGCGGGGTCCGGGGAGAAATATAATAAAAAAAAAAAATAAAAATATAAATATAGTAAAATAAAAAATTAATTAAAAAAATATAAATAAATATAAAAATGCGGGGTATAAAGA